GAACAGTCGTCCTTGAACAATGTTTCTCTTTTCTGGGTAGTTACATGTGGTCAGACACACTGCAGACAAGCTGTTAAGGATAACATATGCTAGGTGCTACATAGATTTAAGACTTGTAAACCAAGTGAACGGCTTCAACACTATCAATTCTTTATTTGGGTTATCTATCAGCAGAAACATCTCAAGTAAGAAAACTGGTGTACCAGTATTAACAATTCTCTAGCTTTTGTTGTAATCTTAGCAGCAATTTATAAATACTCAATAGAACATAATAATAAGACAGAAATATAATTGCCCCCTAGAAAGTTTAACAAAATAATTCAACAAGTATTTTCTTGAGACTGAAATAAATATATGTGTATATGTGACTACGCATATAATACGGTTCACATGACAGTATCCATTTGGCAATCATTCTTGTAATAACTTACCGCCTTCCTTCATTCTCAGACTTAAGAAAAACAAATCCTAGTAGTAAATTGTTGTTACTATACCTAATTTAAAAAAATACATATTAAATTTACAAGTCACTGATCAGAAGTTAATCTAAAATTTCTACATTTTAAAATTCATACACAATTTAGTTTATGGACTAGCACAACATATAAAAATTAAAGCAACTTGAGAATGGAATCCCACATACAAATATTAAAACTCATCAGATGGTACAGAAGTTGCTTTATGCATTCCCAATGACTTTATGCATTTCCAAACTATAGTTCATATTTCACAGAAAGGTAAAGACAAATTCTAAAAGTCTAATATATGAATAAAAATTGAGTTTTAGAAATTATGCGCCAAAATGAAAAGTAATCATGCTCAGAAATACTTTTCTTAACTACATCGCCAAAGTATTAGTGAACTTTCTAGTCTTCTTAAATTATAAATTAAAAATATCTTTGTTAGAAATGAATTACAATGTATAATCTTTAGAAAGTATATTAAAAGTTACTGTAGTGAATACCTTTCATAATATACCATATGATACTAGAAGCATTTTACAAACTGTGGTCTGAAACTAAGTTTTTAAAATATGTTGACAAGCATCCCACCAAAAATTAGGAAACACTACAGACCTTAACTCACCCCACCTTCACAGTGTCCATTAGATGTTAAAGGTTCTGAAATTCAGCAGTAAAGAAACCTGCCTTGGTTGAGTCCATTGTATCCCATACTTATTTCACCACAGAATTTTTTCTTGGCACATAACAATTTCTGAAAATTGCTCTGCGGTTATTGATATGCATTCTGTAAACCCACCCCCACCCCAACCTGCACATAGCATACAGATGTCAATACATCTTTGTCGTCAGTATATAGTGGACGGATGAATGCGTCTTATCTGTTGTTATTTATTCCATTCTAGCTCACCAAATGTAGTCTGGGCATGACTAAGAACTATAGGACAACTTAGGAGCTAATTAGTAATGCAGGAATTGGCTTCTAACAAAAAGCAAATAAATACCACAGTACATGATACATTACAAGTAAAAGTGGGAAAACACTGCATCAGACTTTGGTTTGTTTTATGTGACAAACCAAACTTTCAAGTAAATAAATCCCATTTGGCGGAATTACAGAGAAAGCAGAAAGAATAAATTACAGTATGAAGTCAGTTTATAGTTTAATTGCAGACTTGTGTAATTTTAGAGTCGAAAATGCATCTGAGCTGATGTCATTTCATAGCATGAGGATGGACTGCTGGTGTTCAGCACACAGATGACGGCTCATCTCCCCGGCTGATCCTCATCTTATTTCACAGAGGCTGTGACACAAACCTATTTACCCAAAGCTTCCATTATGTACAGCAGTGTCCTGACATGATCAATTTTCAAAGTGAGCTAATGAGATACGCAAGCTTATCTTATTATTCTAAAGTACAGAATACATCAAACAATAAAAACCATTAGATATTGAACAGCATTTTTCTACAAACAAAATTTAAAACATCTCAGTTGTCTGTACAGATTCTCACTTGAAACAGAAAGAGCTATCTACTCAATTTATCTGATTATATGACTGCTTTGCTTTTAAATTTTTCTTTAAAATTTTCTTAGCTAAGACTGCACTAATTTACTTTACCAAATACATTGATAATAATCTTCCTTCCTCCTAAAACATCAGTTTGGACATAATTACCTTTTTCCTTTCAAACTATTAATAGTATTCACATGTACTAAAATTCAAGCCAAATAACTCATTTATCGGCAAAAATCTTTATTATTTCCATGTGTCAAAAGAAAAATCTTGGCCTCTATCCATATTTATAAAAAATATATAATAAATCACTATCTTTCATTAAAGTATCTTTTACCTTTTGACCTGTAGCTATTGCTGCCAATCATCACCTCATTTGTTTATTGACATTAATGTACCGCTAGAGAACTAGGCTCCAAGTATAAAATGATAGCTGCTAGAACAGTGCTTTGGCAATAGTAATATTCTGTTAAGGGTCATTGACAAAACTTTCACAGTGGCCAAAAGAAAAGCTCTTCTGAAGTACCAATATTAAGTGTGCTAAAAGTGGGGAACTAGATGCAGCACTGATAAATGTGATAAATGGCTTTGAGAATGAAAATTACTGTCATTAATAACATCCTTTTAATACCTTAAAGTAAAAAAATGAAAAGCCAAACATTCATTACTAATATATATGGTAACCAAATGTAATTTTTATTGACTCCTTGGTTAGTATTATTATGCTTGTAAATACAAGTTTTCAGTCTTTAGTTTATTCCTGGGAAGCACCAAAAAATAATCCTTCTGCAAAGAAATCAGTTTATCTTTCTCACGTATTGGCTCAAAGCAAGTCACTCCAAGGGAAAGGAAGAATGTTTTCTGCTATATGTTGTGTACTTTTAGGGCCTTATTTCAAGCAATTTAAATTGAGAGTATCCTGTAATTATGCTCACAGTGTCAGGGACATGTCATCTATTACTAGCCACTGAAAAGATAATTTTACTTTACCAAAATGCTAAGACAAATAATTATTAAAAAATTTATGTCAGCTGACAATACTAATAACAATGGGTCATTTGGCTTCAAATTTGAATGGAGAGGCTGTACATTCACTCTTGTGAAGGAAACCCTGGTACACGGTGGGTGGGAATGTAAACACCAATTAGGAAAAATATTATGGAAGTTCCTCAAAAAATTAAAGCTAAAAGTATCATATGAGCCAGCAATCCCACTTCTGGGAATATATGGAAAGAATCAGGATCTCAAAGAAATATGTGCACTCCTACATTCATTTTAGCATTATTTTGCAATAGCCAAAATATGTAAACATATAGCCTAAATGTCAACAGATGAATGGATATAGAAAATGTGGTCTGTGTCTCTGTGTGTACATGTGTATGTTTACCATTTTATATACTCCATCATAATGGATTATTATTCAGCCTTAAAAAGGAGATATTGGACATTTGTAACAATACAAAAGAACCTGGAGAACACTATGCCAAGTGAAATAAACCAGACACAGAAAGACAAAGCATGATCTCATTTTATGTGGAATCTCAAATAGTCAAATGCTTAGAAGCAGAGAGTATAATGGTGGTTACAAGGGACTGGAGGAGGAGAAAATGGGGAGATGCTGGTCAAAAGGTACAAAACTTCAGTTATGTAAGATGAGTAAGTTCTGGACTTCTAATGGATAACAACGTTGCTAAGGTTAATAATACTTTATTGTATACTTAAACTTTGCTAAGAGGGTAGAGCTTAAGTGTCACCACCAAAAAAAAATGGTAACTATCTGAAGAAATAAACGTTAACTAGCTTGAATGTGGTGATTATTTCACAATGTAAATGTATATCAAAGCGTTAAATTGCACACCTTAGTGTATACAATTCTTAGTATAAATGTATATAATATATACAATTGTCAAATATACCTCAATAAAGAAAATATTCAAAACTTTCTTTTGTTATGGTAACAAGTCTGATTTTCTCTACGTCAATAAAATTCTTCATTTTAAAATATAAATAGTAAAATGAGAAAGATAAAGGCTGAAAACAGGTTTGAAGTGGATTATAAAATTAGGAATGGGCAAATCTGGGTCTACTAATTGATTTGAAAATATTCTAGAACAGAAGTTACAAATCTGTCCACAACCCAAATCCAGTCTATACGGTGTTTCTTTTTTAACATTTTCTAATGGTTAAACAAAAAATTGAATCAAAGGAAGGCTATTTTGTGACACATAAAAATTATACAAAATGCAACTTTTAGTGTCTGTAAGTGAATAGACTTTTATTGGAACATGGCCGCACTCATTCATTTTCTGTATCATCTATGGGTGCTTCGATACTACAAAGGCAGAGTTGAGTAACAGCAACAGAGACCAGCGTGGTGCTTTCATTGTTTTGCACTGCTGCTTATTAGCACATTGCAAATTACAGTGAGGCAGTTATAACTACCAGCATTTTGAATGTCACAGATTGTCATACCACAATATTTTTAAGTTTTTGATTACCAGTGCATACTCATAATGTCAGAACACGAGAGTGAGAGAACAAACTTCAAGTGACACGTGTTTAAGGCACAGCGAGGTATGGATTATTCTCATTGAGTTAGATGGCAAAACATTGTGTTTAACATGCAGTGACACTGTAGCTGTTCTGAAAGAATACTGTATTTACACTGGAATTACCAAGCTAAGTACTCTTCACAATATTCTCAATTTATAGAATGCAGTGGCCAGAGAAATTAGAAAATTTAAAACAAGGTATATCATCACAGCAAAATTTCTTTACAAATATAAAACTAAAGCTGCAAAGTAAATTTCTGAGTGGCTCATTTGTCAGCCAAGCAAAGAAAGCCAATTTTACCAATGGGGAATTAATTAAATTGTTTTTGATTCATTAGCTGAAGAGATTTGTCCAAAGTAAACTTGCTTAAGACTATTAGCCTTTTGGCAAGAACAGTTGCTTGAAAGAATTGAGAACATTGGGGACCATCAACTCAAAAAAAAAAAAAAAAAAAGGCAAATGATTCTGAGTGGTTTTCCTTGGCTCTTGATGAGTCAACAGATGTTACTTATACTGCCTAGTGATTGTTGTTTATTTGATAAGTCAATGCCAAGGCGGAAGCATCTGAAGAGTTCGTTTGTATGACTAGTATATGTGGAGCAATTACAGGTAAGAATATTTTCTAAAAAGTTAAGCAAGCACGATTTCAGCACAAACTGAAGTAGAATCTGCTAAAATGTGTTAGAACTGGTGATGGAAAAAAATGTGTGGAACAAAAAGTAGGCTTAGTTAGTCAAATTTACAAAGCTTGTACAAATGTGAAGTGTTAATATCTATGGTTATATACTGTATTACTCATCAGTGGATACTTTGTGGCATATATTTGACTCAATCTTGTGTTGTTGAACCAGTAGTGTCAACTAGCAGTTTGTTGGTTTAGAAGTGGTAGTTTCATTGTTTTTGAGCTCAGAGCTGATATTTAAATTCTTCTGAATGAGATATACACTCAGCCCCTGAAGCGCTTTAGAATTCAGCTTTTGTTGCAGACTTAATTATGCTTTGTGATGAATTCAACCAAAAATTGAAACAGCGCAAAATAAGGAAAACAGTCCCACTGTATGTGGGATTCACTGGGATTCAGGAAAAGCTTCCAGACTCAAGGAGAGGTCCAAACCAGCAGCAGCAGCAGCATCACCTGTCTGGCTACTTATTTGAAATGCAAATTCTACTGAATCAGAAGCCCTGTAAGTGGAGCAAAACAGTGTTTATATATGAAACATAGGTACTTTTGATGACAAGTAACATCGTTTGAATTATGAAGTGACATCAAGCTGCTTTATATACTTCTTGTGCTATCTTACCTCTTGGTGAGGTAGCACCTTTTGGTAAGACGAAATAAGCAAGATCTCCATTCTCACATAAATTTGCAATGGATTTTTTGAGCTCTGAGTTCAAACTATAGGTCCAACAGCATTTTTTGGACACTGATGCAAGTATAAAGGAAATTGCCATTTTCCATAATCCATTCAGTTGTGCAGCCTCCACCTAATCTTCAACTGGAAGTGATTAATCTGCAATGTAATAACATGCTAAACGGAAATTACCAAGGGAGTTCTATCAATGCCATCCAAGTGATAAATATGCTCAATGAAAATCATATTCTTATGGATTAACACATGTATTTGGCAATACCTATCTGTATTTCATAATATTTCATATTTTTCTTTAAAACCTACAAATGTCTTAATGGGTTAAGACATTCCCACCATTATAGAAACTACACAAAACACAAACAAAACCAACCCTAAGATAAAATCCTACAAAAGCACATTAATTTTATTATAGAACATATAGTAAGTCACTGAGTAAAGCTCTTTTTTATGAACACTTTGGGAAAGCTCATGTTGAATTCTAGCACAGCTCTATTATCAATCTGAGAACAGAAGGACACATCAAGTAAGGAAAGCTCTTTACATGATTCCAGGAGTTTTCTTAAGGATGCCGGACTTACCATTCTTGTTCCTGTTTAAAAAAACAAAACCACATAAAACACTTTAAATAATATTTATATAATGATCTGATAAAGAGTCCCTTTATTATTTATTGTTTAAAATAAACTTAAAATAAATTGCCTTTTAAAAATTAAAAAATATTTCTTAAAAACAAAAGACTTCATATTGAAACAGTCCTGTAAACAAACGCAAACTGAATTCTCCCAGGCAATTTGGCATCTTCTGTCAATACTCTACCCACTATCTTCATTCCTACCTCCTGCCGCTTCCAATCAGTTCCTCCAGACGTTTCTATTTCTGTCGCCCCAGTTCAAAGCTGTTTGAATCTTTTCCCATAATCCGTGGGTCAAATCGGGCAGCAATGCTTACAATGATTCAACCTCTAATTCCATGCAATGCAATTACTGAGCAACTACCCTGTATAAACTTCTGTTTTTAGCACTAGAGATGCAAGGAGCTCAGTGACCAGGGATGAAAGCAAATAACTTCAACACAACCTGGTAAGTCCTACAGTATATAGTGGGTAAAAAGCGGCAGTAGTGGAAGCCAGATGATAGGTGATGAGCACTACTTAGTCCATGTTAAATCTGAAGCGATTATGGGACATTCAGATGGAAGCTAAATTATCACTAGGCTTTAAGATGTCATCTGTTGTCACATACCTTTCTTTAACCACAGCTTTCCCTAGGGGGAAAAGTCACAATTGTACTACCTATTTAACTCTACTGAGATGGGGATGAACGTTCCTGAAATGGTAACTCATGTCTTCTCTCTAAGAAATCCTTTCTACGCCCCTCCCTGGCATGGGCTCCGGACGCTGTAACTCTAGGGCTACTGAGGCTGTGACTGGCCCCTCACCAAACCAATGCAGATTCTCCTGAAAATCCTTAACTGGAATTCAGTAAAGCCTTCAGTGTCCCCAGACCTCCTGCACTAGAGACACGGAAAACTGGGTTGGGTCTGTTATATTTGGCCACGTGTACCCAGAGAAGCAGAGATGACAAGCATGACAAAAGAACAAGGCATACAACTGCAGAGCGCAGAGGCAAGAGCAGGACAGGAAGTGGAAGAAAAACAGAAAAGAGCTTTCTTGCCTTTCGATGGTTTCCCAGTGCCTCCTGAGGTCTGACCATAACTAGCTCCTACCCACGGGATCTGAGACACCTGTATCTTCTCAATAGTTTTCTTTTTCTTATGCTTACCTCGAGTGGGTTTCTGTTATATAAGACCATAGAATCTCAACTAAGACGCTTGGCCATGTGGTGTTTTCCACCTAGACTTGTGATTATTTTCTAATTGCCCGTCTTGGTCATCACAATCTGAGTTTCCTGACAAAATAGGAGTTCCTAGGAGGATGCCTGGAAGGAAGTTAGAGACTGAAGACTGAACGAGGTTAGGCTCCTTTTTCCAGGGCACTTTGTGCTTTTGTTTTATTATTCACTTAAATCACACAATTATGTTTTCAGTTTGCTTGGTTTAACTAAGAATTCTTTAAAAAAAAATAAAGATTCTAATAATTAAGTATGAAAGGAAACCAAAACAACAGTAAAAGTATATGAAATGTAGTACAATGGTTAGAAGCATAGACTCAGGTTCAAACCCAGATTCTCATTAGCCAGGAGACCCAGGGGCGGTCACTGAAACTGCTCCAGCCTGTTTACTCATTTGTGGATAATACTAATAATTACCTCATAAGGCTGTTGTGAGGATTAAGACAGTTAATATACAGTATGCTCAGAAAAATATGAAAACATACAATAAATTGCAGTTTACATTATTATTAATGTAATTAATGTGATTTTCCAACATATTTGCATGATGGCTATCTTCCATCTGTAATTAGTTTTGGCATAACAGATAATGTTCCTTCTTCTTATGCCCATGAAAGTTACAAATATTTTCAAAAAGTCATTATACCTCTTACCTATTTTTCTTTTATATCTCAATCAAGTACTATATACAAGCCAAAGTGAGGCCACCTGGCAACCAATCCCTTGTTCATCACAACTGTGCTGTTGTCTTAGGATCAGTGTTAAAGACTTCTTTGTGGTTCTCCAGCACCTACTTCAGACTAGCTTCTCTTCACCCCTCGTGGGTGAGGTCTTCTCTTCCCTCCTCTCCCCTCCCTCCCTCCCTTCCTTCCTGGGGAGAGTTGTAAAACAGGTTTTAAGCAACAAATAGCACTATTCCTCTGAAGTGAGGCCTGCTGCAATCAATCCATTTTAAAAGGCCCTGGTCATCTTCATTCTCCCTGTGAATTCATGACTTTTTCTTTAACTTTTCAAAATATTTCTCTTATAAACATTTCTCTAGGCTAACTCAAGGGTTAAGGTGGATAGGAAGGAAAAGAAACAAGCAAGGTAAGTGGATTCAATGTTACGAAAAAATGGTACTGACTGGAGCCAATAACCATGAATTTGAATTCTTGCTCTGCTATATATTAACTGCCCTCATCTAGAAAAAGACAATGATGTCCAACTCCCTGAGCTAGGAAAATTAACAAAAATATATGACCTAGATGAAGTATCTGGCCCAAAGTGTGCATAACATAATAGGTAAGAATTTCTCCCTAAGTTTTTAGGCAGAATTTTTGCCTACATGTATCTTAAATAAGTAACATGCAACTATATAAGAAACATACAAATGTTATCATAAACCTGGACTGTGAAGAGATTTAAATTAAAATCTCAAACACAGGTGCTGAAAATCTTCAGGTTTTCCTTTTGTTGAATGTTTAATAAACAGGAAAAAATGCAATTAGAATTTCACGGACGAATCTCTTAGTACTAACAGATTACCAGACAACACAGGGCAAGTGCTAGGTAGGTTCACAAAGTAACAGTTGTCTGGGCGGTTACAGCTGTGGCATTGCTAGTGGTTCTGGCGAAGGTAAGAAGTAGTAACAAAAATTCACAGGGTTCCTGACTGAGAAATTGTATTAAAGACACAAAAAAATCCCAGAACTGGAATGGATTTTCCTTAGATTTGCCTTGGGGTAGCACTATTTCTAAAAACTAGAATTATTAGGAATGGAGATTTTACACTATTTCTAAATCAAGAGTTCAACATCAAGAAGTGGGGTGGGGTGGGGGTGGGGTGGGCAGTGTGTGTGTGTGTGTGTGTATCTTGAATTCATTATAAAAATGGATTAATTTCTTAAATGTCCTTAATAAAAATGGAGAACATAGCTCATATAAATTCACTCTTCTTACTAGGCCAAAAATTAATGGTTAGTTAAGAGTTTTCTGATGGGTTCAACAATAAAATCCTGTGACTCAAGTACAGATATAATTAATCTCCATATCAATGAACCTATCTTGCCCTTCATATCAAACCAAGCGCTCTTATCAAGACAAAATTTTTATTGTATCCAATAAGGTTCTTTTTTTTCCTTGCAAAAAGTCTGAGTTTGGCTTTTATGTCAAGGCTTAAAAAAAATTTATATATTGTATCCTTACCTAATATGTCCAGTTGCCGTAATCTGGTACAATTACATGCTAGTTCTTCAATGTCTGTGTCACACACAGACCTGTTGGCTGTAAGAAAGAGTTTCTGCAAGTTTGGGAGCTGGCGTGCCAGTTTGGTGAAGCAGCCGGTGCTGCTCTGCAGAGTAGGGCACCAGCCGAGGTCAAGTTCCTCCAGAAGCTGACACCCAGAAGCCAGTTCTGCTATCCCATTCTCAGTGATATTCTTACATCTCCACAGATCCAGGGTACGCAGTTTTTTACACTTGGCTCCTATCATGCTAGCTATCACATCATAGTCTTCAATCTGAAAATCAAATAATTCCAATCTTTTACATATTATGCTCAGAAACACTGTTTAGAGCAAGTTAAAACATTCTTAATCATCTCCTATTGTTTGCTCCCATGTAGACATACCCACATTCTCATTAATATAGATCTGCGTACTCATCTCATAGACCTGCCACTGTTTCATGAGACAGCAAGAGTAATCACTTACTTAAAAATCTATTTAACAGAACTCCAGACAGAGGACGTTAATGAATGAAATCCCAAAGCAGTCTGAAATCCTCAGTCTCTCACGAAGAATTTGAGGATTCCCTGTTGTTCCTGTATGCCTACCATTTTGACCTTGCTGCTGCTATTTGCTGACAAGCCTAGCTTCTTCTATTTTACATATAATTAATCAATCATGCTAGATATGTAAGATCTCCCGGTAAAGGCGCACCCTTTACTAGGCTCTAAAACAGTTTGTGACTATGCTGATAGTACCAATGAGGATATTTAAAATTTGGGGGTTAAAGGAGGCATTTAAGGGCTGAATATACAACACAAAAATAATTTAGATTATGGTAATGTTAATCACTGTCAGTTATAGGAGGTGTCCAATGATTTAATTCAAGATCACAGGATAAGCCTTTACTAACCAAGGATTAAACATTTTTTTAAACAAATCTTTAACAAGGATTAAGTTCACAGACTTTGTATGCTTCAATAATGTTTCTTTAAACAGGTTTCTAAATTTTAAGAGGTTCATTTGATTTTGTTATAATCAGGTATCAAAATTATCACCAGAAGTCAAAAGGAAACAAAACAGCAAACACTTCCAGATTATTGCCTTTTGTTTTTTGCTTAATCATATTCTCAGCTCCTACGTGCCAACACGACTCCAGATGCTAGGAACAACAGTGAACCAACAGAGACTTTGTTCACATTTTTGGGAAGGACCTACAGACAAATAAATGAGCAAAATAAATTCAGAGAGTGATTAGGTCGTGAGAAAATAATAAAACAGGGTTATGTGAGAGCAGCTGGAGTGTCAGGGGTTGAGGGGAGGAGCGGGGTTGCTGGGCTCTCCAGGATGAGCTCAGCGCATTCAAGGAACTAGAAGTAAGACCAGTGTGAGCCAGGGTGGTAAGGGAGCGGACAGCTGCGAGGGCAGAGAGTTATGCCAGGGCTAGGCCACTAAGCCAAGAAAGAGTCTGATTTTTATTTGAAGTGCTAAGGAAATCAATGGAGGGTTAGAAACAATTATGATCTCTATTGAAACAAAACAAAACTCCTCTTAATTCTACCTGGAAGACAGTCCATGGTGGGAAAGAATGGAGCAGGGGGCCCAGTGAAGGGGCCTGCACTGGCCTTGAGGAGAGAGGGCAGAGGCTTGGATGAAGGACGCAGCAGTGAAACTGGAGAAAGGGACAGATATGGGGCTCTATTTTGAGTCAGAACCAAAGGCTTAGGGACTAGACAGAGCAGTGATGATTTCTAAGGTTCTGGTCTTTAGAAACTGTGTGTAGTAGAATCATGCAGAAGCCATGAGAAACAGATTGGGGGAAATAAAACTATTTAACGTTAGTGAGCACACCTGAATAACACAAAAGTGGAGCTTTAATAGTGCAGCCAATTTGCTTCTTTAGAAAGAAACAATTTTAAACCTTTCCAAAACCCATGATTTCTGATTGCTATTATTTTGATAGTCAAAAATAAAATAACAAGTTGACATTTTGGTCATTTGACAGAAAAGAAACTGAAATAACAAAGTATCACCCAAGAGCTATCTTACTGTCCTGGTAAACTCTGGACTCACTGTGAAGTAAGAACGGTATTTCTATGACAAGTATGAAATGTTTCAAGCATGACAGTAGTAGTAGTTTTAGCAATATTGGCATTATTTCTGAACCTTAATGTCAAGTCTTTAATATTTCATTTCCTGACAACAAATATCAATAGTAACAATATGTTACTAGTAACTACATACTTCAATTTTAAAATAGCTTATCTTTCTAAAGCAGCATTTACTACAGTATATTACATATTAACAGATGTAATATGAAAAAATGGGTTTGGTAGTCAGGTAAAGTTGGAAAACACTGGTTGAAGCAAAGGAAAAATATGTATTCGACAATAAATATTTTGGGGCCCATCCAGAAGAGCCACTAGAGGGACCTCACAGAAGCTCATGAAATGGCTTGCTAAGGCAAGAATCTGGCCAGAAGTAAGGAAAATCTAATGCTGAATTAGTGGGCTCCCAGCCAGTGACCAAGATGGCCTGAGCCCATGGATGGGGTTTAATCGGGCCTAACCATCAGGAATAAAACTGATGAGGACGTGGAAACAAAGATGTCATTATAATGGGCCTCTCCAGCCTACATTGCCGAACCTGGGGGTATTGCATTTAGAAGCCATTGCTGAATTTTAAAAAATGTCCAACTGGGACTATTTTAGGTCAGTGACTGTGCCTATTGACTCCAAGTCTAAGACACCTGGAGAACCTCCCTGAAATCTTGCAACCATCCTGCTTATTCTGGTCTTCCTAATAAGTGGAGGCAAAACTGGAATGGTTGCAGACTTCTAAATCTCCCTTGAAGAGGAACAGACTGCTCACAACTATGTTGGAAGACACATTTCCTGTGAGTGTGCACACACGCCCACCACACACACACACACGCGCACACACACACACACACACACACACAGAAAGTTCTGCTGTCCCTTCAGTGTCAGTATTATTTATAAGTCATGTAATTTAGATGAAAAAGATTTAATTTATCCCATGACTTCTTTCAATGGCACATAAAAATCATAATTTTAAATATGGAAGGACTTTAAAGGCTATCTAGTCAGACAGTTCATAGGCTTTTGGATTTCATGGACCAGTAAACTTCAAAAAAATTTGAGTTCCAACACAGAATAGCCATCTTTTTATCTCACTCAGCAAGGCCAGTAAAACAAAAAACAAAAATAAATCTATGTACTATCATCAGCATTCCCAGAAATAATCTCAGAACTTAAAAACTAAATTCAGCTTTGTGAAAAACTTACTGAACTATTGGCATTTGGTACGCTGGATAATTTATAAAGAAATGCAGAGCTCTAGCTGGTGTGGCTCAGTGGACCCTGTGAACCAAAGGGTCGCTGATTCGATTCCCAGTGTAGGGCATGTGTCTGCGTTGCAGGCTAGGCCTCCAGTGCGGGGCACGCAAAATGCAACCACACATTGATATTTGTCTCTCTTTCTCCCTCCCTTCCCTTCCCTAAAAATAAATAAATAAAATCATTAAAAAAAAAAAAAAGAAATAGATGTAAATAACTTGTCTGAGGTAACATCTGACTTCAGGCAGAACCAAACTCTTTCTACCACACTGTATTTCTCCTTTTGCTCTCATGGCTAAATATCAATGTTTCAAAGACACACTCTCCAATTTAAGAAAAACATCTGAAAGTGGGTCCAATAGTTAACCATTTATCCGAAAAGCAGTGAGTGGGTGTGGGTGGGATGAGTCAGGATAAAATTCACCCGTGGGAAGAGAGAGAGAGAATGAGCAACTGAGTATAAAAAAATTTTCAAATACTTACCATTACACAACTACCCAAACTGAGGTGCTGAAGCTCTGAACAGAAGTTCAAAATGCTGAGCAGCGCTGTTTGCTGCCATCAGGGACCACATCAGAGGCAAATATGGAATGTGAAACAAAGAGAAGAGGTCAATTAGACATTAAAGGCTGTCACTATTTCTCCTGAAATAGAGCTCAAAGCCTAGGTTACAGACACCACAAATGCCATTTAATGAGTCCCCAGGTGCTCCCATCATTGATTGGCTTGGAGTCAAGGTAATCATTACCAGTCTCCATGTAAGTCTTCACTCGGGATATGGTTTTGTGTGCCCTAAAGATATCCATATTCCCTCTGACCCCTCATTTCATTTCCCAAAGGTAAGCAATTTGAAAGTCTGGTTAAGACTGAACAAGACAAGCTAAACAACGCCTCCCTCCAAACCGCCACCCCCCCACCCCGCAGTGGGCTGGTGACACTCTGAAGAACAGAGCTGCCGCTCTGACATTCACCGATCAGTTGCAGACTGATGGAACTGCCAATAGTCACCTGAAATCAGGATTGAGCTGGTGCCTTTAATGTCAAAGGATTCTCTTTGCTGACAAGGACCCCAACAACCATTGAGCACCTGTCACTAGCAACATGCTGACGGAAACATATATGACGTGCACTTTCTAGTCATGTTGCTGCCATTTCAGCCCATCTATCCTGTGCAATGCAATGAAAACGGTCTCACCACTAAAGAAACCCAAAGAAATGCTAGACTGGGACATAATCCCGGTACCTAAAATATCTCTAAATAGTCACAGCTTCATTTGGTGACATGTCTCCTAGGAAAACTTGTGAAAAACAATGCAAAACATTCAAATTTCTAATTTTTATTTTGTCAATTAAGAAAAAAGTTACTCCAACTTCCATGGCAGAATTCTTTCTAAACATTTGAATTCAATCATATCTAACAAAATTAAGATATTATACAACTTATGTTTAATCTGTTTGAAGTGTTCAGAAACTGACAAATATCAGTTGGGAAGGGATGACAAATATGTCAATGACAATACAAAACATCTGTTCAAACGCAGATAAAATTCTCACTAAGAAAATGCAGTAATGAAGTATTCAAGATAAAATAAATTTAAGGCAAAAATAAAATAACAAGAGTTATAATAGGCCCTAGAGAGATACTAAACTTAAGACTGTTTCACTTCTGGGCATTTCTTTAAAAGTTTACATTGAGTTTATGCTTAAGTTTTAACACAACTTATATACAAGGCAATCGCATGTAGCTCTCAAAATGTTGACATTAGAAGAGATATGTGAAGATGAGTTAATTTTCAGATTCTCCATAATACTTAGCTATTTTAACTTACTAATAGATGGGAAAATGACATGAGGTTTGTTTTAACTGAAGTACCAGAAGCTTACAAGGTTTTTTGCAAGATTTTCCCATGAGCAAGATCCAAAACATATTGGAGAATTTTTAGAGAGGATCCCACATATTCTTGTGCTTAAGAAATTCTCAATTAACACACAAAAGACACTCAAATACACACATACTTCATCAAGGAATTTGTATGGTAATATATTTTTAATTACAATGAAGAATCTCAAATATATAGATTAGTATAGAGTCCAGTATAACAAACATCCACTTTGCCTTCTTTGCTTATCTTTATATATTTGTGTATCCCTCCGTCCAGTCACATACTTCGTCAGAGGTAACCTTTATCATGATTCAGTGTTTAAAAACATGCCTGAAGTTTATATAATTTTATTATACATTTTGTGTCCATAAATAGCATATAATATTGTTCTCCATGATTTATATATAAATGGTATTCTATTGTGCATATACTTCTGCATCTTCCTTAACAGTGCATGTGAGGGATTTGTCCATGCTGATACTCACAGCTTTAGTTCAGTGACTTTTTAACTGTTCTGTATTATTCCATTATGTACATATACTAAAGCAAGTACTTTCACTCGATGAATATTTGGTTTGCTTATAAGTTTTACCGCCATAACAAAGAATGTTAGAATAAATATTCTTATAATGCTTCCTGTGCATATTTAGAATATTTCTCTAGAACTCATACTAGAAGGAGAATTTCCAGGTGTTTCTGTATGCTGACTTTATTAGATTTTCCAAAGTAGCATTCCTGAGTGACTCAATCAATTGATACTTGACCACCTGTGTAGAGTGTGGGGTCCCCACATCTTTGCCAGCATGTAATCTTCTCATCTTTTTTATTTTCTGCCTATCTGATGAGTATGGAATGTTATAATTTGAATTAGTATAATTCCCAGTGAGGCTGAAAATCTATTTATATGTGTATGGGCCACTCATATTTCCTGTTCTGTAAATTGCTTAATCATATCCTTTGCTGATTTTTTTCATTAGGTTGTTTCTTCCTTCTTGACTTGAAGGAATTCTTTATTTTTATGCTGAATACCAATCTTTGTCAGTTTCATGCATTACAAATATCTTCCCTAAATCTAATACTTGTCATTTTGCTTTGTTTATAGAATCTTCTGAGACATGAAATTTTAAATTTTAATACAGTCACATCAATCTTTATGTGTGTACTGTTTTTTCTAAAAAGTCCCTCTTTACCCAAGGAAGAATATTCTTCTATTATTTTTTTTAATGACAACTTTAAATTTTTCTTTTTTGCACTTACATTTTAGCCCAACTGAAATTGATTTTTATACATGGTAAGATATCAAATTTCATGATTGTCTCCTTAGGAATAATTACTTGTCCCAGTTCAATTTATTGAAGATTCTACCTTATCCACTGATTTGTGATACTTTCTGTCTTATATAAAGTTCCTTTATATGTGTGAGTCTATTTCTGGGTCATTTTGTTTCACTGGTCTATTGGCCTTTCCCTGCACTAATACTTCAGTCTTAATAATTACAGCTTTTAATAAGCTGTAATTCTATGCTTATAAATCTATAGATTTATAAGCTTATAAATCCAGTAAGGAAAATACCCTTTCTTCATTCTTTAAAACTCTAATGTTTTTGGCCTTTGGCTCTTTCTTATTTTAGAATCACCTTAAAGATTTTAGTTTACTTTTAAAAAATAATATAAAAGATTAGTTTTTCTTTCTTCCCCCATGATCATCATTTAATTTACTGGTACTTTATCAACTTCTTTGTCATAATTGTTTATTGTATCTTACACCCTCTTCCTGAATTTTTCTTCTTGTTGAAAATTACTTTTTTTTAAAGATTTTACTTATTTATTTAATTTTTAGAGAGGGAGAGAAACACATGCCTCTCACAAGCCTCCAATTGTGACCCAAGCATGTGTCCTGACCGGGAATCAAACCTGTGACACTTTGCTTTATGGGAGGATGCCCAATCCACTGAGCCATGCTGGTCAGGGAAAGAAATATTTTTAATAGTTCTTTTAGCAAGCACTCATGAGTGGTAAAATCCGAACAAACATTTTTAATTGAGTAGCATGTTGACATTGCTGTAAATTCTTTATATATATTAATCCTCACAACACCCTATTCGTTCACTTAATAAATATTTATTGAACGCCTACTATGTGTTAGGCTCTGTTTAGGCCCTTGGGCTAAGTCAGTAAACACAGCAGAAAATAACCTATAAGGTAGATACCAATATTCCCATTTATAGACAAGGAATCTGAGTCACAGAAAGTTAAGTAACATATTTAGCCTTTATATATCTCCTCAATCTTTTTAAAAAAGATTTTATTTATTTATTTTTAGAAAGGAGAAGGGAAGGAGAAAGAGAGCGAGAGAAACATCAATGTGTGTTTGCCTCTCAGTCGCCCACTACTGAGGACCTGGCCTACAACCTAGGCATGAGCCCTGACAGGAACTGAGCCAGCGACCCTTTGGTATGCAAGCCGGCACCCAGTCTACTGAGCCATACCAGCCAGGGCTATCTCCTCAATTTTGAATAAAAGTTTATCCAGGTTTATCATTTTAGGATTATAGCTACATTCTTTCATCATTTTGAAAGTATTACTCCATTACCTATCAGCCTCTATTATTTTGATAAGAAGTCTACTGTCAGTCTAATTGTCCTCCACTGTCAGTCTAATTGTCCTCCACTGTAAGTAATATGTCTTTTGTCTTTGACAGCTCTTGTCCCTTTATCATTTATATTCTGCAATTTCATCACAGTACGTCTAGATAAAAATTTACTTTCATTTATTCTGTTTGGTATCTTGAGTGAACATTGATTTGAAGACATATCTTTTTTCATGAACAATCAAGATTCTTAACAATTCTCTCTTCAAATATTGCTTCTCCATCATTTCTTACATTTTTTTTCTTCTGAAACTCCTATTAAATGAATATTGGAGTCTCCCAAGTACCAGTGCCTACAGTAGTTTAAAAAATATGTTCACAAATTATTCTATACTCCTTCCTCCTAGAGGTGGAACTTAATTCCTCCCTCTTTAAGTATGGGCCGGACTTAGTGACTTACTTCTAACAAACAGAACACAGCAGAAGTGACGGTATGTTAGGTTATTGTGATGGTTAATACTATGTATCAACTTCACTAGGCCACAGGGTGGCCAGGTATTTAGTCCAACATTATTATGGGTGTTTCTGTGAGGGTGTTTTTGGATAAAGTTAATATTTAATCAGTATACCAAGTAAAGCAGATTATTCTCTAATGAGAGTGGGCCTCATCCAATCAGACTAAGACCTGAATAGACAAAAGATTGACTCTCCCCCAGGTGAGGGAGAATTCTTCCAGCCAGATGGCCTTTGAATTGGGACATCCTTATTCCTGATTTCAGACTCAAACTGAAACATCAGCTCTTCCTGGGTCTCAAGTCTGTAGGCCTTTAGGCTAAACTGCACCGTTGGCTCTCCTGAGCCTCCAGCTTTCTGACTCATATAGGACTTGTTAGGCTCCATAATCACATGAGCTAATTCCTTATAATAAAACCACATACATATACTCCCTCTTATTTCTGTTTTCCTGGAAAACTCTGACTAATACAGTTATAAAAGAGCTGCGGCTCCTGTTGGGTTCCTTCCTCCCCCATTGCTCACTTGGGAAAAGCCAGCTGTCATGTCATAAGAACACTCAGGCAGGAG